GGCACGGAACCCTCCGGCGTTGTAGGCGGGTGTGGGAAGCGTTCCCCGTTCTCCTTTTATTTTATTTTGATCGGTCTTCTCGACGCTCTTTCTCGTTTGGTGCGGTAGCTGGTCTTTCTTTCTATCATTTTGTTTCTCTTCCGAGTGGTTTTTGTACCCTATTTTTTTCTGTTTCTTCGTGAGGTCGTGTATGCCGGGTTTTGAGACCACGGGCTCCCAATCTTTCTTTTTTAGAGCTAATGTGAGAAACAACAACAACAACAACAACAACAACAACAACAACAACAACAACAACAACAACAACAACAACAACTAGTCAGCCGCTGACTAGTCTAACGGTGTAACTTTATCTTACAATAGTCATTGCTGTGACAGCAGTAGTATCTGATGTATTGAATAGACGACGTATCCTCGGGAGCTTGTGATGTACGTGCAGCAATACACACACCAGGTAACAGACGACACAACAACAACAAGAGTGGTGGCCGGTGGCTGGGATGAAATCCCTCCAAGGACGAAGAACGCTGACGGAAATCAGTGGACGGGTGAACTGCCAACCGGCACCTATCAACGCGCATGAATCACACCACTGTCAGATGAAAATCGCAGCTGCGTAACCCCCCCCTGCGCTCGCTCTGTCGCCAGGCAGGCAGGCAGCAGTCAGGCGTACAACTGTTCACATCGTTGTGCACACGGCACCTACCTGGCAGAGAAACCCGGTGAGATTCGATGTTTGGTTCTCTTCCTTCTAGCGTAGATCCGGGTCTAGCCGTTCTGTAGTCCCACCCGCCAGAAAGAAAAAGTACGTGTGTGTGTGCATATGTTTTCTTGACCTTGAAAACGATAAGATAGCCTCACTTTTGGGACTGGGCACACATACACGCGCTGCCCGCGGGAGAGCGGTGAGAGCTCCGAGGTTCCGACCCTGCTATGCTACTAGGAGTCCGGGTGCTTCTTTATGGCCGTTTCCTTTAGGGCCGCACAAGTTCGCCTCAACGCGGACCTGTGCGCCCTCTGTTCGCTGTATGAGTCTCACGTATTTTTCGTCATACACACTCCTATCATCCCCTCTTGATGCTACTTCCTCACGTCCTATTTTTCCTGTGCGGGGGTCTGGGTCTGCATGCACACCTGACACAGCTTTTTGAGCGAAAGGGGGGAGCGAGCATCGGACGAGGTCGACACTAGCTGCTGAACCGGGAGGGGGGAGTAGTTTTTTCGCGGGCCAAGCGAGGATACATTACGATAATGGCAGAGGTCACCAAGCCTGCTGCTGATGATGCAGCTGCAGCACGTGGAGCAGCGTCGTCACCACCGCCGCCGGCCATGCGCCGAAACGACATCTCCATGACGGACATGTCCGACTTCGATACGGGGGATAACCTCTACCACGTCCGCAAGTCGCGCCTGATTCGCCTCATCAACTGGTGGCAGGTGCGTGTTGCGAGTGCTGTGGGTTGGAGACTCAGGATTGTGGACGACGGGTGATGTTGGCGATGAAATATTTACAGCCTCTTGATGGCCGCCAACCGTAGAGTATACCCGGCCTTTAGACCCAGGGGACGTTGTCTTTGCCGAGACACCATTGACGGCGTGTCGGAGTGATGGGATGGATGATATTTTGTAGCACAACACGCCACGTCTTTTCCAGGCTGCCCGCCGCCGTCTCACGGGATCATCTCCACTTTTTTTTTTTCTGTCTATTTATTACTTAATTGGATTTCCCCTCTCGCTGCAAGTTGAATCTCTGTATTCGCTGCGCGCGAGCCCTGATTCTTTGCAGTACAGCAGTAGAGGACACGTGGACTCGAGCGGAGGGGACTGTTGTCCCCCTCTTGGTATTCCATGAGGGACGCCCCTCCTGCCCACGCTACCGTTTTGTGTCGCAGGCATCCTTCCTTGTTGGCTTCCATCTTGTTATCACCCGAGGCTGAACGACTCGCAGTAGGTATAAAACAGTACAATGTATGTTACATGTTCTTCACTGCTGTAGACACGAACTGCATGCCCCCACCACGCATGTTTACGGTACGGTATGCGGGAAAACCTCCACACCAATCAGAGCAACGTACCTCCGACACTGCTGTACAGCCTCTTTCGCATCTACAGTACAGCACCGGCCATATCATTGCGTCCATTCTCTCTGCTGCAGGCCGTTTGCTCCAGCGAGGAAATGAAATTGTGTCCCAGCCGAATTTACAGGAATTTTGCATGCAGGTTGGTGTACAGCAGTGGTCCTACACACCTATTCCCCACCCGGTACCGCAGGAGGAAGGTGGTGCATGAAAAGAAATAAAAAGAAGAAAAAAGCCCTGGTGTTTACCCCCTCCTGTGTGACCCTGGATGGTTTTAGTTGTACGAGAAAATACACTGAAAAGTGTAGTACGCTACATCCGCTGAAAAGTGTAGTACACGTCTCGCCACGAAAAATGGGGGGACTGTCGCCATAATAAATAGGACGAAAACACACACACACACTACAGCTACTTGATTATAGACATCTTCAAACTCAGAGTCCCGCTTCCCGCATTCCTGTTTGCCGTAAAAATCCACAAATGTGTGGGCGCGCCCGCCTTTTGAGTTTGAAAGGGTACGCGAACCGTTGGTTGTTTCGAATCGGGAATTCCGTCGTCCGGGTGGATTCACAGCCGGTTGCCGCATGTTTTCACATGGTGCTTTCGAGCCTCCATATCAGAAATTCCCGCGGCTGAGTTTTGGCGACAGGCAGGAAGCAGCCAGCTTCCTCACAGCAGGAGACCACAACAGTCCACCCCTCCATTGTCTGCCACACCAAGCCGACAAGTCTCAGGGAACGCAACGCGAGAACAAGGCCGATCTATCTCACTGTCCTCACGACAGGAACCATGTTGTAGTACCGTGTGACTGCTGTGCGCGAGCGCTTGGGTGTACGCGCACATAGCGCTGAGGTGCAAGATGCGCAATGCGTTCCTTCCCCCATGTGTGTGCAGACAGCCGTGTTTTTTTGCAAGACACACACCTAGTCTTTTTGAAATGCCATTCACCTGCCAGACCACCTTTCATGCCCGAACCCGTTGGGGTGTGCCTTGCTTTCACTCCATCTATTCGAAGGAGCATGGGCGTTTATGTGGCTGCTTCGATCAACCGAGTGCAGAGTAGTAGGCTTTTGTGTCCTGCTGTTGCTGTTGTGTGCAGCGCGAAGGCGAACAAAAATCGGATGAAGAGCCGGAGCCGAAATTCGCAAGGCGGCTTCTAGTGCTGCTGCTCCCAGGCGATTGAATCAGCACACCACTGCCCCCACGCTCCACGGACAGAGGGCAGTGGTGCATAGGATGCCGTGTCCTAGCAGGTTTCAGCTAGAGAGGCAGCCTGTCGAGTGAGAAATCCAAAGCTGTGCCCTCTTCATTCACTCAGCAATCAACCCCGTGTCAGTTTGCAGTGTTTTTCCTTTCTCGAGACAAGTCAACAAAAACGGCGCGTACGCGTGGGCGCGGAGACGTCATGTTCCTGTGTTTGCAGGATCTACCTTGGTTTACTTTCTAGGCAAGATGTATCCGATATGATTCCCATGGTGGCTTCCTGTCTGGTACAGCGGAGCAGCTTCCGGGCATGCCAAGTACAAGTAGCCGGGTGGTATCACTCGCGTTCGTTTGTGGGCTTGCATGCATGTGTTTTGCTCCAGAACGCAGCAAACGGCGGAACGGCGGTTGCAATTCTTGTGTGAAAATCCGAAAAAGGCGGGAGGGTGAGTTTCAAAACATCCATGGGGAATCCACGCAAGAATTCACCAAACGGAACGAGAAGGTAAACCGCTAAATATTGACCACAATCTGATGCGGGAGACGGGAATCGAGTAGGAAAGATGTCTTCTACGCAACGCGGCTATCCTCACTATCCCTGGTGACCTCAAGCGCTGCTGCACACAGACCGGATGTCCGCCCTTGTAGGTGTGGTTGGTGTTCCAAGTCCTCTTTTGGCTGTGTCTTGATGCTTGTGTCTACTGCAGCGTATCGAGCGCACGGCGTGGTGTGCAGAGGGGTCAGCACGGGTGTTGACGAGGTCCAACAGCGTTGACACCGGCAGAAGCAGCAACAACAGTCGCAACAAAAGCAGCAGCAGACCAGCCGGAACAGGACCAAAAACTGAAGGAAGAATGTCATACCGTCCCCACGAAGAACCCTCTCTAGTCTCACTCCCATGACGTCCCTTCGTGCGGGTTGCTGGCAGTTTCGCGCCATCCTCCTCTCCCCCCCCTTTTTTATACAGCGTTCCGCACAAAGGGTTCCGGCTACAAGCAAGTGCCGCCTGTTTGTGATTTTTGTTTTCCATTCCCCGGTTGTCTTCGCACTGGTGTATTCTGTGATATGTCGTCTGTCTGCTCCCCCAGGTGGCGTCCACGTACTTGCCCCACTTGCTCCTGCTCGCCCTGGGAGTTCTGGTGGCCCAAATGTGCGGAGAGGCGTGGAACAACCAAGACGCGCTGAGGGTGAGGGGGGGGGGGTGTACTCGTGGCCGTAGTCATTACATAGACCGTTGACCTCACATACCGGGACGCAGCAGGTTTAGGTTTTCACCCCCAATACCAGGCTATATTATCGTGCTAAATACTTGATATCACCAAGGGTGAGAGGGAGAGAGCAAGTGAGGTCGGCGTATGTATCTCCGAAGCATTATCTCACCGCGCGTGCGATTTCGCGTTCCGTATTGCGTAGACGGCCGACACAGGGTTGGAGGGATGTACCGAAGACTGTCCGAGTTCCCGTATTTTCTGAGAGAAGCAGCAGCAAATGCTGAAGAGCACCAGCTCAGTGTTGCGATGTCCCCAAGTCCTTACGACAGCCGCGGAGGTAGGTCGTCCCCGCCCCTACAGTAGCTGCCACATTTTTGGAGTTGGTTCTTCAGCTTGTCGCATCCCGTATTCCGCATCCATGACCCACACCGGCACAACTCTTTCTGGACCGCACGCAATGGCGCGCGTTTCGGAGAATGGCTTCAATATTGGGAGTGCAAGCGAAAACTCGGCACTGAGTCGTTATTTTTTTGGTGGGCGCGGCAACCTCCCCCTCCCCCCCGCCGTTCCCGACAGAGGCGTTGTTTTTTCCCGCAAGACCGGATGCGAATTGAAGCAGACGCCTCCATCCAACGAACCCCCCTTGATATATCTCCGGAGGTCGCACTGCTGCCCGTAAACTTTGCACGCGCTCTCTTTTGTGTTCATCCCTTCCTGATTTTTCTTGTTTTTGCAGGAAGCGATGCAGTCCACGCTGCAGACCACTTCGAGGGACCTGTTTTTCGACCTGGGCTGGAAGAGCACGGCGCTGTTTGTGGTGTTCGTGTGGTGGATGTCTCGCGGGAGCGCACCGCTGTACATGGTGGACTTTTCAACCTTCGAGCCCCCGGAGGAATGGAAGGTGCGACGTGTGTGTGTATTTATTATTTGCATCGACCGCGCTAACCGGCTGACCAATGAAAAGACCACGTCTGTGTGTGTGTGTGTGTGTGTGTGTGTGTGTGTTTGTGTGTGTTTGTGTTTGTGTCTTTCTTGATAGCATCGACCGCGCTAACCGGCTGACCAAGGAAAACACGTCATTCTCAGCGCGGATGAAACACAAATTACGCCTAACAACTATATGGTCTGGGACCCCCGTGAGAGAGAGCGCCATTGGGAAGTCTATGCTACTCTCCGGATTAATGACACGTACCGTTTGACCTCGAGATTACACCCCTAGCGACCGCCAAAAACAGCCGAACGACCAGCCCCCAAAAACTTTTTTTTTTCATGACTCGTTGGCCGAATTTTTATTTACTTAGATTTAGGCCAGAAACGGCGGAACGAAGTTCTGGCTCCAGGCGAAGAGTTGGCCCTTCGTACTCAGACACCTGTCTACAGACCATACTCTAGGAATCACGAGGATTACTTTTTTCACCGCCCTCTCAATCAAAAGCCGAGAACTTGCAATTCTTACTGGTTTTTAGAGGGGTTTCAGCCAATTTTTCGTGTTGTCTCCGTTGAACTCGAAAATGCGTTCCTGGTGATTTCTACCTTTGGTTTCTGCGCACACATCGCAAAAAACCGCACCTCAATCCAAGGCAGCGCTGTTGAGTGGCACGTTCCCCCGTTTCGGCTCTCATGGGCACAATTTCTAGTGGTGATCGCCCATATATACATGGCCGAAAAAAAAAAGAGCGTGTGTTGCAGCGTTTGTTGTTGGTTCACGGCGCCCTTTCGGAGTTCACCGGAGACGCGATAGGACGTGCGCTCGAAAGCTCTCGAGGACAATGACTACCCAGCCTTGGAGCTAGAGTACAAAGCCCATGCTCAGAGACTGAACGGGCAGCCGCGGCAAAGCGGTGTCGACACATTTGTTGCTTGACCACGCGGGGGGCACATGACGCACATCTTGAAAATCCGAAAAAATGGGGGACGCAACATCACACATCTCGAGCTTTGTTACACACGTCTCTCGCCATCCATAAAGCCATGGTGAGCGGATGCGCTAGTAGCCCTGCTCACGCTGATTCTCGGGAGCTTTCAACTTTGCTTGTTATCGGCGAATTGGTCCCAACACGTGTTTGAACGTGTTGAGCCAGCAGCAGATTTGGACGTGACATAGCTGAATGTTCTGGCTCAAGGCTCCAACTTCAACCATTTTCGGGAACACACTCGCGTATGTATTGAGACCAACTCTTCGACGGCGGGCAAAGTTGATACCTTCCGATAATCAGTGTCAGCAGGGATAGCAGCGCATATGCTCAGGATCGCCTGTGCCAGCTCGTGGGTGCCGGCAAAACGGATAGAAACAGCTCCAAGAACGGCCTCTGTTGGCTCCGATTTTTTTCGGTCTATTTTTCCTCCGCCATCACTCATATGCACATGCTCCGACTTTGCTGCTGCTGTGGATGCATATATGCATGCGCTGCTGCCCCAGCTGATGGGCTATTCTAGTTCGCCCAATCCGCCGGTGTAGTGCCCATGATCCTTTGATGGTGGATCGGTGGCTGTGTGTGGAGTGTGCATTGCGTCTTTGGTGTTGTTGACAAAGTTGCCCGATGGAGTCGTGTTTTTTTACAGCTTTTTGGTGGCGTAGCCGCCTGTTTCAAGGAGCATTGATTGGTTACTTTGAACTGGCTTTATAACCACGGACACTTTTTTGGCCCCAAACAAATGTAATCTCGAGGTCTAACCGTGTTTTCTCCTCAACATACCACATTAAATCCATCTCTATCCGTAGATACGGGTCTAGGATCAAAGTAGTAAGGGATGCATAGGTCAGGAGCACTTCTTGTGCGTTGTGTTTGGAATAAAAACCCGATACGCGTCTGTCCGCCTCTGTCGCTTCCCTTTGGGTGGGAACCAGGAGTAGAGCGAAGTGCTGTTGGTGACGAGCCTGTTGTCTGGTTCTGCCGACATGGGAGCTTGTTTTGTGTTTTGGGAGTTGCATCACATGTTGCCGCTCGAAACTGCAGCAGTGTCGCCCTGCCTTAGGTTCCAACCGTACGTTTGGTTCCAACCGTGTGTGGGTTTGGAGTTTCGCTTGTGTACAAACGAAGGGTTCGGCGTTTTGTTTTTTATCGCATGGAGGGTGCGGCAGTTTATTTTCCGAGCGGTGTTCGGCCAAGAAGAAGCACCTTCGTTTCCGATATACAAGGGTTCGGAAGCTTATTTTCTCGTGGATGTGGTGGGATTGCATCTTTTGCAATTTTTGTGTTTATTATTGATAGTGGAATGACATCTGTTATCTCTCTTGCCTGTCTGTGTGTCGGTATCTGTCTCTCTGTCTCTCCGTCTCTTCCTCTGTATACGTGTCTCTCTCTCTCCGTCTTCGTCTCCCTCTTCCTCTCCCTCTGTGTGCGTTGTTTTTCCTCGGCCAGGTTACCCATGACCAGCTGGCTGAGATCATGAGGCGGCAGGGATGTTTCACCCCTGAGTCGGTCTCCTTCATGGAAAAGATCCTCTCCAAGTGAGTCAAGTCGTTGGGTGGGTCACCCATCCTTGGTGGCTACAGCTTCATGCATTTCATGGTAAATACCCGTTTCTAGTTGGCGTCCCCATTTTCCCTCGTGGAAACTTTAACTACCGTAGGAGGGGTAGATATGGCACCCCCCCCTAGGCCGACTTTCAAAGCTCGCATGCTCCACAACCAAGATTGTCTGTACCGTACCGTATACCGTACCGTATACCGTACCGTGGTATTCTGTAAGAGGCGGAGAGATGGGACCCCCCCTAGGCCGACTTTCATTACTCCATTGCTCCACAACCAAGCGGGTGCGGAAAGAGCCCGATACATGCACGGAAAGCCCTCGACGATATGCTTCCAAAACCGCAGTTTTCGTGTTGGCGCAAGCTTTGTCGTACAATATATTCCGGTTTTGAAAATCGGTCAAGGGAAGTGCCATCCCTCCGCCTTCCCCAACGCATCCTCCTTTTCACGTGAGTACCGTTGGTGACGTATGATAGCACACCTCCTGGAGACGTTTCCATTACTCTTCAGCAAATGCACTAACGATGCCTAAGAAGCGAAAGTGTTTGGGGTCGAGACCTTTCTGGAAAATTCAGCGTTTGAGCTGGTCTCTATCCTCTTCGTCGTGGAGAAGTCGAGCTTCGATTTTCGGTCCGGGGGGTGTGATGGTACGCTGCGCAACCTTGCCGGTTGATAGCTCGTGTTCCACAAGCGCGCCAGTGCACACGTCACATTCGTGTTTTTTTTTTTTACCCTGCTGAATCAGCTAGTTGTTTTGTGTGTCGTGCTGAGGCTACTTTCGTTTGCCATCCTTGCTGTTGTCGTCGTTGTTGCTGCTGCTGTTGCTTTTGTTGTTGTTGCTGCCGCTATTTGGTCGTGCGTTCCTCTCGGCAAGCTAAAAACCTCAGCTGAGTGACCCCCACCCCCCCCCTACCGTGCACTTTCCGGCAGGTCTGGTACCGGGCAGGCGACGGCGTGGCCCCCTGGCATCATCAAGTGCCTCGAGAACCCTGACACTCCGGCTGACAGGTGCCACTCTTTCATGCGTTCTCGGGACCCCGTGTGACCGGTAGGGCCGTGTTGTTGAACTGGCTCTGTACAGCAGCTTAGCTGCTTCTTTGGGGTTGTTTGCCCCGTGCAACTGCTGTGTTGGACTATGGGGGGTTCGCAGACATGAGTTTTAAGTGGGTGGCCCAGTGGGTGCCACCCACCCCTCCACCCCCCCACCCTCCCGGGATCACGAGAACGCACAATTTTGTCCTTTTTTCGTCTTTTTTTAAATTCACCCTAAATCTAAAAGTTCGTGGGTGCGAGGTTTTTCATGTGTTAAGCTTCAGACGGTGAATGTTGCCGATGTTCTTGCTGAGTCCTTTGTGTCCTGTTCTTGGTTTTGGGGGCATGTGTTTTCGACCCTGGCGGCCGACGCCGACGTGTACCAGCAAACTTTTTGCCGAGATCCGTGCCGAATCGTTTGTTGGTCGGGGTGTTCGACTCTGGCGGGCAACGCTGACATGTACCGGTACAGTATCCGTTTTGCCGAGATTCGTGCGGAGTAGTTTTTGTTCCCACTTGGTTGGTGGAACATGTTCGACTACTGTGGCGGGCAACGTGCTGCCGTGTGTATTTTGGTGCCGAGATCCCCGGTGCTGAGCTTTTCTCTTGTGGGGGCGGCTTGTGTCCAGGTCGGTGGAGGCAGCGCGTACTGAGGCGGAGATCGTCATCTTCGACGTGGTCGGGAGCGTGCTGGAGAAGGTCGGACTGACGGGAAAGGACATCGACTTCCTCATCATCAACTGCAGGCATGTCTCGGTGTTTTGTTGTGTCGGCATTTTTGGTAGGTGTGGTGGCAGGAAAGTATACCACTGCAGATGACGCCCGCACTTTAGAACCTCTAGTTTCGGCCGAGGCTGGGGTTCTTATATTGCTGATCATCCTCTTGTGGGCTACAAATCGCCACTATATAGGTTTTAGTGTAGGGGTTCTTAACCGGGCTCGCAAATGGTGCTTAAGTTCTTGGCTTCTTATATTTTTGGGGTCTCAATTTCTTAACTGCTATGTTCTTAAGTGCGGGCGCTATCTGTAGTGTAGGTCACGTGGGTGACATTGCTGCGGCAGGAATTCGTTTGTGGTTGCTTTGCGTGCACTCAAGGTGTTCGCTCGACGTCCCGGAATATAGTGTATATATATATCATTGTTCTCAAGGGGTCGGGGGTAGAAAATATAACAAAAGCCGCTGATGGTCGGCCGTGCCTCTGGGGCTGACGTTCCCTCTTTTTTCGGTGATTTGGCACGTCTCTTTGTCGATGAAAAGAGTCTAAAGACGGCTTTGCTGAAACGGTTTGACACAAACACGCACGTGCACGCGGTGCAGCGGTGGGTGTCCCTGTTTTAGTGCCGGCTGAAGAGTGTCGATGTTCGGTGTAGCGCCGGAGTTTTCGGCGGGCGCACGGTGAATTTCCATGTCATTGTCAGTACTTGGAATAGTGCCGGTCCGGTATTGCTCGTGAATTTTCTGCGCACATACCGGCACTATGCAGGGACCCGCTCTGTACTCGCTCGGCCCAGACCCACGGAGGTGCCCATTGCTGTTTTTGATCGCAGTCGATATTTTGTGAGGTGACAACGCATGTGCACGTATCAACACGTGCGTGGGATGTGGTAAACTCGGTGGGCCGTTGACAGCAGTGTCGGCAGGAGTGGTAAGCCATGTACTATGGTTGTAGATCGGAGAGGGCGAGCATGCTTCTTGCTTCCTTCGTCCTTCCGCTGTAGTCCTTGACCCCTGCCGTCCTGCCTGCCAACACGCTGGACGTGGACTTCTCCGGCATTGGCTTGTTTACGTCCTTTAGCTTGATGGAACAGAAAGGCATCATTCCTTCTCTCTCCCCGTGGCTATTCTCTCTCTCGCTCTCTNCTGAATTTCACCAACAACGACGGTCGCGGGCGACATGCACACACATTCTACAGCCTCTTCTCCCCTACGCCTTCCCTCTGCTCCATGGTGAGCCACAAGTTCGGTATGCGCTCCGATGCGAGGACGTTCAACCTGAGCGGGATGGGTTGCAGCGCCGGGGTGATCTCACTCGACCTTGCCAAGGTATGTATGTATGTTGGCTCCGTTCTTTTTTTTGTCCTTTGCTTTTGCCGATCGCGTTTGTGATGATGATGCTTGTGGGGGTTCTTTGAATTCCTTTTGGTTTTCGGAAGTTTGTGTACCGATTGATGCGCATTTGTGGCGATTTTTCTGGGTCGTTGTAATTGTGTGAATGATTTTTTTTTTTGAACCGTGTGTTCTATTTTTTGTGGGTATCGATCGCGTTTGTGATGATAACTTTTTATGGGTCCTTTTTTCCTGTAGCCACGGAAGTCGTAAGCGTCAGCGTCAGTTGGAATGGTACGGATGGACGTTTGGTGCTGAGCGGAGACCGGAACGTTTTTTTGTTTTTTGAAGGCAACGGCAATGTTTGTTTCCTTGGGGTGTCCGGCGGTCATCGGGGCGACACGGCACGGTACGGCACGTTTGCCATCGGGGTTGGGTTTTCGTCGCTTGGCAACGACGTTGTAAAACAAGCCGCCCCCCCCGGTGTTTGCCATCGGGGTTGGGTTTTCGTCGCTTGGCAACGACGTTGTAAAACAAGCCGCCCCCCCCGGTGTTTGCCATCGGGGTTGGGTTTTCGTCGCTTGGCAACGACGTTGTAAAACAAGCCGCCCCCCCCGGTGTTTGCCATCGGGGTTGGGTTTTCGTCGCTTGGCAACGACGTTGTAAAACAAGCCGCCCCCCCCGGTGTTTGCCATCGGGATTGGGTTTTCGTCGCTTGGCAACGACGTTGTAAAACAAGCCAATTCACTTCGTGAACTCGGCAACCAGGTTACCGTTTTTTTTTTTTTCCTCCGTTTTTTTTTTTGGCGGTAACCATAATGGTGGTCGAGTAGATCATGTTGTGCGGGGTGGAGAACCCTCACTCCGCGCAAGGGGGATGATCGCACCACGTTGTGTTAAAATGGTCAAGCACCCTCGAGGCAGTTACACAGTGCTTACAACTGTCTCTGGAAGTGAAAGCACCAGAAAATAAATTAATTCATACGCAGCTGTCATCCGTACGCAAGGAAGTAAGCACAAGATGCCGAACACCCTTAGCAGGATGCAGCGCACCCTTCATGCGACTCGCCGAATATCTCACGGCGCTTCGCGCTTGGTGATGTGAGAGCCTGGTCCGGTGAGAACCCGGCGTGCTCCGTCCCGGCTTTGTAGGGATGCGAGGTCAATGGTCTAACGACTACGGCATGCACGACTATGAGTACACCCCACCCCCCCCCCCCGCTTGCGTGCACTTGACAGGATCTGCTGAAGGCGAGGCCTAACTCGGTGGCCCTCGTGGTCAGCACGGAAAACTTGACGCAGAACCTCTACCATGGAAACGAGCGTTCCATGCTTCTCCAGGTGAGCCGGCCCGGGCTCGGCATGTAGAGGGGATCTGTGTACGTGCACCATAAAAAGGTCTCCCGAAAAAATCATGACGAACAACAGATAAGCCAAACGCAATCGTAAAAGGGGAAATTGACAGCAAAACCGAGGTTGTTCCAGCTGTCTATCAGTCGGCATGGGGATCTCCCCACGTGTACCATTAAATAGGTCTTCCGAAAAAATCATGACGAAAGTGCCAACACCATGGACAGATGCAACGACAAAGAGATGTTTAACATGACATCTTACATCGGGGGCAAATCACAGGGGGGGGTCAGCGATGCAGACTATTAGAGAGATACGTACCGCCGGCGGTCCTGCCTCCTCCGTACCGCTATCGTACGCTGGAGTCGTGCCCTCTAGCTGGCTCTCAATTTCTCCACCCCACTCCGTGGTCGTTCGGATGGACTTCGTGTCGATTGTGGAAGCTGTTCTTCGTCGCGTAGTCTGCTGGCCTTCATTTCCTCCTCAACGTTCCCTACCCTTTTCGATGAGGGACGCTAAGGAGGAAGGGAAGGCCGGCAGGCTACGCGATGAAAACAACCACCATAAGTTTGACACGGGGTCCATCAAAACGACCTTTGAGCGGGGCGGGGGGGAGAAGCGTCGAAATAATCCAGCTATAACAGAGGGCACGACTCCGATGGAGGAGATGTGAACGGGCGAGAGATGTGCCGGGCGGATTATGGAGGAACTGGCAGGGATTACAGCCGTGTACGTCTCTCCCTCTAGCACCTTGCATCGTTCCCCCCCCCCCTCAGTACATGTAAGAATTCGTCGTCCGTTTACAAAGTTGTAGTAGAACTGCGCTACTTGCCGCCTTGCTTCTTGTTTCAGGCCTGCTCGGTGTTAATGTTTCTGCCTCTCCCACGGTGATTGACAACGTGCGTGAAACATATGATTGGTGTTGCTCCCGGTTCATCGTTGTGAATGTACAACATCCTCATGATGCTGGACGTGGCTTGTCCTACTTGCGTAGCGAGCACGATGCGGTTGTTTCTCGACAAGCAAGGCGTTCAAACCAATAGAAACGCCCGGTTTTACAGCACGCGGGGACTGCTGCCCCCTTGTGCCGTTTCGGGCATGTACGCGGCCTAACCACGCGCCCCTCGGCCCTTTTCTTCCCGGTGGGCCTGCGGGCCCGCACCTTAACTGTAGAACACCTTGTTCCGCGTGGGCGGAGCCGCGATCCTCCTGTCCAACAAGTGGCAAGACGCCAGCCGCTCCAAGTTCAAGCTGCTCTACACCGTGCGGACACAGGTGCGCCTTACTCTACGTGGAGAGCTATTATAGCTATGCATGGAACGCTTGTGGCGGAGTATGTTAATATTTGCGAGAGAGATACTTGACGCAGAGCCACGTGGCGTGTGAAAGCGTCACTGTAGGTGCCCAAGCTTCAGTGCAGAGCTAGTGCTTGAGACAAGAACATCAAAATTTGCAGCAAGGGTACACAGTCGAAATATCAAGTGCGGACCCCCGCCCCCCTCCCTACTCTTTGGCAAACAGACGTGCTCCTGGCTTGAGGTATGGCTGTCGCCCTATATGATCAAATCCCTGTTATCCGGCGCTTGCTGATCACGAGTTTGCAACCCCCCCCCCGTCAGCCCCC